ATGCGTGTCCCCCGTGAGGACTAAGATGGAACGCCTCGTTTCCAGCAAAAAGGCTCTTCCGTTCTCTACACTCACCATACGAAACACAGAAGCATTAAGCTATTATTTCACGCTGGTATTCTGTGAGAGCGTGGTCCTTCCCCGGTCGAGCCGGCCTATTCGTGCTACAACTATACTACTAATATAACTACAGCATGGCTCGACCACGTATAAAAAATGTTTTAATGAACTAGTACATGATGCACAAACAAGTGCAGAATCGAACTTTAATTGTGGCATATTTTTGTATAATGCATAAGAAGTGGGTTCTTTAAAAATATATATAAATAATATTTTTTTTATTTCAGAAAGAGATATATTTATTTTAAATTTTATTATTTCGTAGCTATTGTTTGTGTTAAAGGAAATATGTTACCGTTTGGAGAAATAATGTTATTGGTTATTGGAAATGTAACATAACCGCTGCGCACCTCGCGGCGCCTCTGTCACTCGATACATATTATGGTGCATTGGGTATTGTTTACGAAAAACGTTATTTATAACTCTACATCAGCGGGAGTGACTCTTGAGTGGTTTTATGGTTTTTAAAGGAATGAATGAATCTTTATTTCTGTACAAGTGCTGTTAAAGTTTGTTTGCTCAAATAAAGTAATTAATTTTTTAATAAATATGGCACTTACGACTAAAATTTTGATATCGGCATTAAGAGTACTTATGAAATACTTTATCGGATTTCTAAAACTTAGCAAGACCTATTGAAAGATGACTGAATCATGTAAAGAAAAAGAGAGATTCAAGACTGAATCATTGTAATGAAATAAAAAAAACTATTTTTATTGACTAAAGCATTACGCCGCATTATGCCGCATCTGGTCCGAACTACATGCTACATCGGTGTAAATTGATTGTGGGTTCTTGTGAGCTTATTATTAATGCGTTTTACGATAAAAAATTATATTGTAGCCTATGATTTTGCACATAAAATATTGTAAACAATAGACGTAAGATTAAAATAAAATAAAATTGAACTATTAAAAAACTTTGTGTCATTGAGAAATATGATAGTCTTGACTTTATTCTATATTTAGTTATACTAACCACTTTAAACTTTATTAAATATATGTACTCGTTTATAGGAAATTTCATAGAGAATTCAGAAATGTATACATATTATAGTATTCGATATACCAAAATCAAGATATTTGCGTTTAAACGGATTGGGCCCAATCAGCCGTCCATTTTATTAAACAGCTCCGCAGTCAACGGAGAATTACGGTTAGAGTCTCCGCAGCTGAAAGGTTATAGAATATTTTGCAATAGGTTAGAAAGAGAGCGATCGTCTTCTCGAAAACCCCGTTAAAAGCCCACGCGAGCGGGAGAGACAACTAATCGCTCTATTAAACTCATTTTTTATGACAGCAGCACTATCGCTAAGGCAATACGAGGTCATCGGTCGACTTGTGTCGAACAGTGGCGTGCACGGGAATTTTGGAATAGTTTGAAACAGTTTACGAGTTATTTTATTAGTTGATATTATTGATTGATTCAGTTTGATAAGGCAAGCCGGGCTTTTCGGCTTCAATGGAGGCTTCGCCACTGCAAACGAGCACACAGTACACCTGATGGTAAGTGGATGCTATGGCCCATAGACATTTATCCTCAATTAAGAATCAAAATGCAAATGAGTTGTCACCCCTAAGATGGAATGCCTCGATTCCAGTAAAAAGGGTCTCTGGTTCTCTACACTCACCATATAAAACACATCAGCATTACGCTGCTATTTTACGCTGGTATTCTGTGAGAGCGTGGTCCTGCCCTGGTTGAGCCGACCCACTCGTGCTACAACTATAATATAGATGTTGCGTGGCTCTACCATGTACAAAAAGTTATTATAGAAGAAACAGTCCAAAAAGTTAAAGCTGAGTCACAAAATAAGAATACAAACACAAAATTACAAAATTACGCACAGTAAGCTCTCGAAACAGAAACCTCTGTCCTGTATGAATATAATTAAAGTCATTCTTTTCATTTACCACTGGTTCGCAAAAAAAACCTCTGTCCTGAGAAGAACCAGCAAGAAGCCCAACGGGATTAGTTTAAAAAAATAAGAGTTTACAATCATGCGTGTTACAATTAACCACACAAAACAAATTAGAAATAGCTTGGTAGCGATCACCCTTCCCAGGAGTTATTATCATCCATAAATTCCTCAATATTAAAATAACCCTTTTTATACAAACTTAGTTTAATAAAGTTTTTGAACTTTGTGTACTCACGTCAAATTTTGATTTTCTAGCATTTTGTAATAAAAGCGTATACATCGCCTCAAAAATTAATTACGGATTTACGTTATGAGTTTTTTCCTTACAAAAATTTACTTTGACAAAGTGAAAAAAATAAACTTGTTTTATTCATGATTAATGTAATTTAAGGAATTTTGAAAATAAAAATTAAATTAAACAAATAATACATTAAAGATATTAATGATTCGATTATTAGAATATTTTTACCGGTTATATGAATATTTTTCCGATTATTCGCATAACAATACATTTTAATCATCCAAACACTACGGTAATAAAAAAACGTAGCGACATGTCATTGAAACGACATCAAGTAAAAAAAGTTAATACTGGTTATTTTTTAATATTCTGCTTTATTTCAAAAATTCTAATTTAAATAAGTGATAAAAAACTATATACGTTGTAATGAAATATAGATAACTTCATAATTCTTCGGATTTACGTAAAGGGTTATTTTAAATCTTGTGAGTAAGCTTGTGCAAAGTTATTGCGGAATGATTAATGCGAAGTGTTAGATTTGGTTGACTATATCAGTAGCCACACTACTACAACCACTAGACCAACGAGACAATCAATTGAACATAACAACTTATAACACAAAGGCGTTGAAGTAACTTCTTCGTCTTCAACATATTATTTAGTTACTACACTATATATATATACATATACCATCGGATTATGAGAGTGAGGGAATAGAGAGTGCACCTGTGCTTGCGCATACACTTGGGTACTATAGTCTATATCACTATAAACCGATGGCTAGCCTCCGTTGAGGCAGGCCGCCGTGGCCGAAATTCGGTCTGGAGGACATTATTATGTTAAATAAAATATTACATCGAAACATGACTATTATTTTAATTAAACATTGAATTATTGTATAATAATAATAGTGACTTAATATTAAGTAAAATTATATCATCCAAGAATAATTTTGGAACAGTCACGTGTTATAAAAATTATTCAAGCTTTCAAAGTTATGTTAAAACAATGAAATAAAACCATTTTTCCTTAAAGTAACTTGAGTTATTACTATATATCAGATATTCGGAAGCATATTTACCTAAAGTTGAGATGTTTGCTATTATGGAAAGCACTTTTTTATCGAAAAAAATCCCGCGATTCTGGGAAATTCAGATTTAAATATTTCTCCGTGACCGTGAGATGCAATAAAGCCAGTTTGACACAAAGTTTTATTGTCAGTGATTTTTGACGAAGCAAAACTAACCTTATTACGTCGAAACAAGTGCCAAATCGGGCCTATTATTTAAAAAATACATTATAACTGCAAAAATCAAGATATAACCTTTCCAAGTGAGTCTTTGCCAAGGAAGAAATACTTGGCCCATGTTTATGAAGATAAAATGAAACCATCCATGGTGAAGAACAAAACAATAAGATATGGACATCTTTAGACGAAGCTACCGACTTTCTTGAACGAAATGTTATAATTATTTTAGTAAAACCATTAAATAAAAACTCATCGGGACTATTTTAACTGTTAAATTGTCAAACTTTAGATGTAGAAAGTTAACAGTCGTACTGCGTCCGATTTTGTGACTCTATGTCTAAAAACTTATGGGGATACTAATTCAACAATAAAGTGCAGGACCTCTTAATGTTATGTAGCGACAGCTTAGCGTATAATATGTGGTTGGTAAAATATTAAAAATACATTTCCTAAATATGAAACATTCTACGTGTTTAGTTCATACCTTGCACAGATTAACAGAAACAATATGTTTAAGCTACGGTAATGTCTAATTAATAATGTCAAAAAAATATTTTTAAAAGCTCCTAACAGAGTATGAATTTTATAGTAACTACATTCAAATTTACCTTTGCCGGTTATCACTAGGTGTGGAACATAGCTAGAGGCGGCATTTTACTATGCCAAACATTTAGACAAAATATTGAGTGTTTTTTATTTGATAGCAATGAAGCCATATCCATTAGAAATGCTAGGAAAATACTAGCTAAACCTAATTTGAAGAATGATTTAGAGTATACATTAAAGTATAAAATAAGTAAGGCAATAGTAAAATTAGAAAAATGTGAGCTGTCTATAACAGAAACATTCGGAATATTTGACTTTTTAAATAATTTATATATCTTCATGCCACCCCTTCAATTCCTTATCAAGGTGAATTATTCCTTTCTAAAGTTTATCTCTTAAAACTGATTTTTAATATATTTTCAAAAATGCATATAAAATCTCTCACCACACCACTCCTGTTTACCTTACTCTTCGTACCGCAGGATACTAAAGCATTACCTGAATTTGAAACTTGGTATTCTTTGGTTATCTATAACGCCTTATATTTTTGATTACATAATCCAAGATCAAGCATTTCGGTTACGGTCTATATTTTTACAAGAAGTGTTAATGTAACTAATATAATCAGGAGAAGATTATTAGTATAACTCGCTTTGAGCGCAACTCGAGTTAACTCGAATTAGTAAGTCGAGTTGACCCATCACTAAAGAAAAATATCATTGCATTGACATTTGAACATTTGATTGACAATGACAAGCAAAATATAATGTTATCAGTAAAGTGAATAATAGTTTGCGGATCTCAATTCTACGTAATCTTTAATAAATTTATTTCATATATTAGTAAAAAAATAAAACGATTAACTTTCTAAAGTCTGTTTTTTAACCCTTTAAATTTTATAAGCGTATGTGTACTATAGAACTATGTCGACACATCGAAGGGCAGTTCTGAATCTTTATAAAACAGTTAGTATTTTATTTAAGGTTTGTTTTTGTGGAGTGTGCTTCGTCAATAACATGAATTTCGTATTATTTTCAGCTATTATACTTAGGTCGTGATTGGCCTCAAGGTTACGACCTTTTCAGAAAAAGACTGTACAAAGTATTCACAAAAAATAGCGAAGAAAGTGATCCTGAAAAGATAGAAGTTATGATAAAACATGGAGAATTTGTCGCAAAGGAGATTGAAGCATTATATAAACTGAAGAAATATAGGGCGATGAAACATAGGTATTACGACGATAACTGATGTGATGTTACTATAGTATTAAAGTAGTTTGGTATGTACATGAAGGAGTCTTTAAGTAATTTTTGTTAAATATTTGATTCTTAGAAATTGTTGAATATTTACAAACAAACACCAGAAACTTGTTACTTAACTTTGTACTTTTAAGTATAATTGAATTTTTGAGGAACTTTAGGGTATAACCCTTTATTTATTTCGAGCTCTCTTCTCAACTCTATTTTGGCTAAATGTTTATGAATTTGTTATAAAGTGTTGTTTCGAAGTTGTAGTTACATTGGAAAAAAATTAAGTTACAAATAGAATTTTCATATAAATATGGTGAAATTTATTCAAATCATAAATATACGAGTTATTGTTACAGTTTATGAATATCTTATGCCTGGGAACAGAGCTTTTTCTATTTTAAATATCTTATTTATATTTTTTTAGTTTCCAGAACAGTCTGCTTTTTTATATATTTAAAATTATTTCATTTGGTAAAGCTAATTTATTTTATGTCAATTACTATAGTACCAAAAAATGATATATATTATGCTTTTTATCATCATAAAATTCTTAAATTTCAGGAATTAGTAGTCATCTTTGAAATTAACAAAATTTCAACAAAAATGAAACTGATGGAAATAAAACTGCATATCTATGTCATTATGTATTATAGACATTCTGTTTTATTACATAATATATTGTTTTAGACTTATTAAATCATAACAGCCAATTCTTTATCAATAAAATTTAACACATTTTTATCTGAAATTTTATGAGGCAGTTGATATGAATTTTGTTATAATGTATTATATACATATGATATAATATGTTATAAGAATATTAGTTTAAATAAAAATTGTCACTATAATATAAAACATCAATCTCTGAGAAATTAATTTTTCCATTTAATATGTGTCTGTTAACTAATATTTCTTTGCTCAAAAACAAATATATTTTTGTATTAATAATGACACATCTAACAATTACATATCATTACTTTTGGTAAGATGTTGTCTAGAACTGAATTTTATTAGTTATTGAAATCTGTGTATGTTAAGTAGAATATTATTCATGTTTAATGAATATTGTTAAGTTTTAAAAGACTTCTATTTATTGATACAAACATTTTGAAAAAAATTATTAAGCAACACTATTTTTTTATTAAAAATAGTTATATGTTGCTGAATGCAAACTTTTATCAATTGCCTATTGCATATTTTCAAATAATATAAATACTTTTTTTCATGTAGGTGTAAAGAACTACCTGCCTGAAATCACAATACACTTTTTGAGCCATTTCTAAAAGAGTTTCAGTAAGCTTTCTCTCTAAAGGAAGGTTCAGTAAGAGATTCAAGACTTTAACAATATATAGTGTATAATAGTCTCACATTCAATTTATCTTAATGTTACGAAATTTATATTAAGAACAATAATATAAATAGCGTTTCGAATGCCTATATTGTCAATGCTACCAAGTCTCGATTGTTTATAGATGTATCGAGATTCATTTTTAAATAGTTAACATGCGTTCTAACCCAACAGATTTCTTGATTTCGATCCAAGTACCAAAATCAATTGGTAGTAAGTAATGCAAATCAGTAACTAATCTGTTGAAGAAGAACCTCGAAAATAGATACAAACTATTATGTTAATGTTTACATACATAGATATATTTATTGTTAACTTGAACAACAAGGCTACATGTTTGTATTAGTGCACTTCTATAATGTGCTCTCCTCGAACTCGACTTTGCTTACACCTATGTGGCATATGTGTTAGTAAAATTTATAACATGTGATTACACTATATACACATTAACATATATGTTTGAGATCAACAACATTCAAGCAATAGCTAAGTATGCCAATATGTTATGTACCTACTTTAATTACACCAAGGTAAGAAAAGATTGATTTTGTAGTTATTCAATATTTGAATAATCTGAATAAAATTAAGGTTATAATAATTATGTGAATGACCAAATGTATGCTCTTAAGTACCTACTTTATTAAGTATTTTTTAAAGAGTACCTATTTGACAAGACAGTCAGCAGTCTATTAAAATTAATCATTATAGTCCCTGAAGTTTAAGACTATTATTAAAACAACAAAGTAGTGTATTATACAGTTTAATTTTTATTTTACTCTCTAGTCTTACAATTTGGACTAGTTTCGATGTTATTTTCTGTTGTACATTTAATAGGTATTATAGTGCTATTTATCGAGACAAGATTTTTTTGTATTATAATAACAATATAAATGTGTAAGTATGTAATTTGTAACAGCAAATAAACGTAGTAAATTGCTCCGGATATACATTTTTATTTTATTGGGAAACTATACAATAATGTCATGATCATTAAAGGGAATTAGGTACAGAGTTATAGGCCTACTGTTCCTGAAAAGATGATCCTTTGCATTTCACACTAGCAGAGTAATCACATGAAGTTAAAAAATAAAGAATGAAATTCTAACATCAAGCTACAGTATGTATTTTCGCATTATTACTTATACGCTGTCTTCTTTAGAGGAACACAATAATTATACTAAAAAGTTTTAATACTATAACACTTACATGATAGTAAAATAGAATGTAATAAATTTAACAGGATTTAACTTATTTACATAGCTTTTTGTTACAGAATATAAGGTATAGATAATATAATTTTTCAAGTACCTTTTTCTGAAATCTAAGACTTTACGCCTGGTTTACACACTTTACAATACTATGAAGTTTACATCGTAAATTTCTCTATTTATAATGGCTAATATTTTTAAAACAAAATATTTTTAGAAAGAACAGAGAAGGATCTAGCAAATGATTTCTCAGGTAATTTATTAACTCCTTTATAATATCTTATTTATATTAGGCTAGGGGGGCCTAGTATGTAACTTTAATCAGGGGTCAGGAGTTCCTTTAAAAAAATACAAATTTTGTACATGAAACAAGTTCATTAAAATATTTTACTAAAGATGAACGTGACCTAATGAAGTGATCTCAAATGAAGTAGAAAAAGGTTATTTAACTTTATCTGAGTAAGAGATGGATAACTAAATTGCAAATGCAATTTATCAACTCTAGCATCATCATCATCACAATACAAAATTGATATAGTATGTTAGTGTTACGAAAAACTCCTCTTTCCGAGAATTCTTTAATTACCTAAATCCGAACTAAGTATAATTTTAAGCCTCTGCTCTGGATACGACAGCATGGTCCAGTTGTCAAAGTATCTGACATGAACTTCATTCTAACTCATAATAAGCAATTCTCCTGGCTACCGATATGTTGTTATGAATTATGATAGACATTTAAAAATATAATACCTATCATATAATTTGTACATCATCGTTAAATTAAAAATACCCCAGTTTTTTTGGTGATTTTTCAATGGGAAGGTCTTGTTTTTCAGAATTTTCAGAACCGGATTTTGATGTTCTTAAGAGCATGAAATAAGCCTAAATTAAATAGTAATGACCTTGAAAAAAATCTTTACTCTTATGAGGTCGCGGGACCTGGGTTCAAAATCTGGTAAGCGCGGCGGTATCATTTTTGATAAAATATTGTTTAGTAGTTGGAGCTGGTTTTGTTGTGATAAGAATTCGTTTTCGTGTAGTGGCATTATAGGGGAACCAACTACCGTATATTATGATTATCATCCTGTGAGTATCACAAGAGGTGACAGGGAATATAAATAGGACATGGACAGCAGTATCTCCCTGATAACAACCGAGAATCTGAGATGAAATTCGAAATCGGCTCTGCGTATTTTAATTCACATGTTAAACAAGTGAATATGAGCGTAATTCTTGAAAAAATCTATATTTATTTATGTATTTGAAAAGGCTATGTAGTGATGATTATAATATTGACTTCTAAAATTTAAAATAATTGTACTCTGTTTGTTACTCAGAACTTAGCATTATTTTTAACCCATTTGTTATTTAGAAGTAAGAGCAATTTTGTCAATTATAAAAAGAAAGTACATACTTAAGCACCTTAAACTTTTTAGCAACTCCATTCAACACGCAACCATAATCAGGTCTCGTTCTCTAGTTAGTAGTCTACCTGAAAACAATATCTATGTGGTACAATTTAACGGATATCAATTTATTAAAAAAGCAACTCTTATCAAGGAAGTTGACCTCTCTCATTGTAGGAAATCGTCAACCTTAGTAAGTGGATTGACAACCGAATCACCAGATGTTTAGCACACTTTGCTACTCCCCGAGCCCGGACAGAACTACATCAAAGAGGTGGTCTTACACTGCCAAGTTACCCCACACAGAAATCGTAATATCTTATTATTACTATTTCTGTGTTACCCCCTAACCGTAATATTATTTGTAAATAAAGTTAATGCGTTTTACATTTCTTATATACTTCTGTGAATATTACCTAAAGGAATAATGGAATACGGTTCCTAGTAAAGGAAATGACGTTTTTAGCACATTGACAAACATTTAGTTTTGCATCTTTTTACATTAGGACTATCTATTAGTATACACACATACTCTCTAACATAAACTTTATAAAGGTACTGGATGCCTTGATAAGAATATAAGAACTATAAAATGCGTTCATCGATAAAATAATAAATTGGTCTTTTATATAGAATTACGATACACGTACAAAATATTTATTCTTTTAAAGTTTAAACAACGACCACTGTATTTTATACAATATCTATGTATTATATATATATATATATATATCTACACTTTATAAACTTGCCTTAAATTTTGAACAGAAGCTGGTATTAATTGAACTGCGCTCACATTTTTGAAATCACAAATTAGTAAGTAAATATTTTGCTACCTAACAGAACTGAAAGCTAAGAGGCGAGGCAAAGCCATAACAAAACATTAGTAATAGACCATTGAGAATATAATCTAATAAAATTAGAGTAGGTAATGTCTTGAAATTATGTACCTAAGTCTGTTATGGTCTCTTTTAAAAACTGTACAGTTTGTTGTTATTTTGATAAGAGATAGTATCTAAATTTAATTTTAATACATTAAACTGCCTTCACGTCTATCACATTGATTAAGCATTTACAAATAACTCGTTTAAATAACTATTTTGTAGCCTATTCTACATTAAACCTTCAAAAATACTTTTGTTTGAAGTTAACCAAACTGGTACAGCAAATGAGTTGATAAATGATAAGGCGTATGTTCTTCAGATCCACTCCATATGCCTGCGACGTGGTGAGTCTGAAATTATAGTATTTAAACACATTCTGTAATTATTATCTAATTATTTGAACAACCGCGAGACTGGTCATAGTACCTGCAGAGAGAATTGTAGGTATTGGGTTTTGGATACATGCCTTAATGTGTGGTGATAGGTATTCTCGTGTCACGCATGCATTACCATTCGTTACGCTAATAACGTGATAAGCTCAAATTTTAACTATGATGTACATGACATACATTATAGCTAAGATTTGAGCTTATCGCACGTTATTACAGGTGATTTAGATAAGTGACACTGTGTCAGCGCATACTGAAGCGACATAGAAATGAACTTACGAAAGCATTTTATTGCTCTAACTAAACTCATGAAAAATAATTAACGTTGGAATATGAATCTTTTTGGAAATTGACGGATAATTAATTAAAAAGTTAAAATTTAAATTCGTTTTTCGTAGTGGTCTTCCAACTACAACAAACTCAAGATACATTGCCGACTCCGTTTACAACTGATTCTATGAGTTTAAGTTTGAGATACGATAACATTGAACAATTAATTTATTCGGTTATGATTATGCTCTAGAGTGAACCAAATAAAAAATCTGACATGAAAATGCAGGCATTAGAAAACTCTACTAAACGTGGCACCAGTAGATGTGTTATTTTGCGATTTCAATTATTTTATAGGCAAGATTGGAGACTACTTCGGAAAACCATCAAAGTACCTATAAACAATTTCTCCCTTCCATTGACAAAAAAAGTAGTTGGCTTTTACAAGAAATTCTCAGTAGCTGCCCAGGGTCAGAAAGTTGGCGGTGTTTCACCTCCGTGCCCAGAAAGCACTTAAAGCCCTTGGTCCTGCGTCTGATCTCTCTCCGGTCGTAACGGTTAACCGTTGCATCGGACTATGTGAGTGAGGGAAAAAAGAGTACACCTGTGCTTGCGTATACACTCGTGCACTATAATCTTGTCCGGTGCAGATGGCTAGTGTCCGTTAAGACTTTCAGCGTCAGCCATATGCACTTGCAGTATAATATCCCCCATATTTTCAATATTAGACGTTTTGCAGGAGGGTTTCTAACAGCAGTCTCTTTCATTCATATTGCGTTGTTATCAGGAAGATGATCTCTTCTTCTGTTTACCTCAGCCGCCAGTTACAACCCTCACGGGATAATTTAGGGTAGTGGATTCTCCTATGAAACATTTACAAAGTGAAGCACATTAATTACATTGCTGGGCATACGCTTTTTCAGAGTTGGGAGAATTTGTAATCTGGAGGAAGCTTGACTGGAAGAGTGGCGATTGCACTTCCAGATGTTTCACGGTTCACACATTTAAGCTTTTATCGTAATTTTGAAAGCGAGCGAGTCACAGACTACGCATGTACGTTACATTTTATCTGGGTATAAAAACTTAATTATCTAAAAGTATCACATACTACATAGATACGATAATATACGAAATGATACACTAACTCGAAATCCTTCAAACTTAATAGACGTGTTTTTTTGAGCAGACTGTTTATATTGAGTGCTATCTACCTAGAGCTGGCGTATACTGCTTCTAGATTTGCGATTCAGCTCTTCAAAATAGGATTAAGATTTTGATTTTGATGCACGTGTTGCATTAGCGTTTACTAAAAAACGAAGAATTTGAATAGAATGTCATAAAAAGCTTAAAAAGGACCGAGGCGAGTTCAATCAAAATTTAAAGTTTATCTGCAGGTAAAATCCTGTGTCATATTTGTATCTGCAGATATTATCTGCAGACGTATTTGTGTGAGCAGATAATATTGTCACTATTCTTCGATATATTATGTCATTTATGTCGGTTCTTACATATACTTAACGATAAAATATACCTATTTGTGCTGTGTGTTTTTTTACATTTTACATCTTTTCAAAATATTCTCCATCATGCTCTATACAAAGTTCCATTCGCCTAAACCAACTCTGAAAACACTTTTGCCAGTCTTGATCTGACAGGTCGGAAATCGCTTCTTCATAGGCAGCCACGGCTTCTTCGGCGCTTGTAAAAAATTTGCCTTTTATTTTTTCTTTGACTCTTGGGAACAAAAAGAAATCACAAGGAGCTAATTCGGGGCTGTAGGGTGGGTGACTTATAGTTTCAACACCAGATTTCTCAATAAATGCTTTTGTTCTAAGGGAGGTATATGAAGAGGCGTTATCGTGATGCAGCATGATTCCCTGAAGCCCGATCTTTGGTTTTCTCTCCCGCACAGCTTGAAAAGCTTTGGGTAATGCAACTGTAGTATACCATTCAGAGGTGACTGACCTACAATTTTCCGGCATTGACGTCGACAAATGTCCGCTCCGCGAAAAAAACTAGCCACCATTTATTTGCCAATGTATCGAGGTCTTTGCAGTTTTGTCGGTAACTGTCCTTCTGAGTAGACCTATACCGATGATCGCCTTTTATTTTCCGGTTCATAT